CGATGCCGACTACGATGCCGGCGAAACGTTTAGGAATGTACCACGTCCACGGTTCAACTTTGGAAATGATTATGCATACAATGAACTCCGGACTAGGTACGTTTCTCTAAGTCTTCCTACCAATGTGACCAAGTTGCGGGTGAAGTTAACCTCCCGAACAGGAAATGTGTTCGTTGGCAGCTTTTCATTACACAAAACTAGCGTACGATCATCTAATGTTGAATCATGTTTGTACTTGTGCTATTGTATATTGTGTGTATGCATTGCTCATGTCATGAGTAGTATGATAGTCCCAGCTAGACACGAGGCCAATCCAGACTCTTTCTCTTGCCCAATGGCTCTTCATGCACCCACTCTCTCTCCCTTTCCTTAAGTCTATCCAACAGCCACAAATAATTCCTACCCAATTTTCTACACTTGTTCATCCTATTCAGGACGTTGGCTGTTTTCTTGATTTCTATAGACTCCTTAATCTTACGCTTTGACGTGAAGTGCGCGTTAATTCGCAAAACGTTGTATTTTGGACCGGTCTATTGAGTGTCCTGTATTAGCAAAATATGTTCAGCGAGCACAGCTTTTGGGATTCACAGGCATTTACAAGCGATTTTGTGTTCTGATAGCCGCTTGTGAATGGGCTGGCAGGTCTTCCTCCCATATACATTACCACGTGAGCACAAAACCTTGTAAGAGGCTGATCTAGAAAGAGGGTCAGAATAATCTCGAAAGGAAGGAACTACTTAAGAAAGTGTTAATTTCTCTGTATACATTGTTTTAATGTTCCATTTCCTCAGAAGTTCACCCAACTTGATAGTAATATAAAGTCAGGAACCGAGTAGAATTCTCCAGTTCTCTATACCGCAAATGATAGCAAAGTCCTCTCTTGTTAACTACAATTGATACGTAATTGTCCACCAAACAGTATATACGTCAATCTACCAACCCGATTTTTCTTCATCCCACAATTTACTTGGCTCTGATAAGCTCTCCCTACAAGCATTTAGGCGAGTCAAATTGATGCAAAAATGGGAGCCAATGTGATTCAAACTAATTTATGAGTAAATGAATTGGCGAATGATCGTGTAGTTCTGGGGCTTGTTAAAGCTTCGTGAATGCGTGTTGGTGTGTGTAGGCTACAACCACGAGTTGCTTGGCAATTTTAGGTCCAAAAACAGACTTTAGCTTGGTCAAAATCTTCTCCTTTTACTCTAGGGCTCTTCCTGTTCTCTTTCATTTTCTCTCTCTCTCTCTCCTTCCATCTATAAGGCACAGATAGTTGTTACTTAGTTTCCTAAATTGCTTCCTCTCATTCAGAAGGTTGTTTGTTTTATTAATTTCAATCGACTTCCTGATGTTCCGCACAGCTGTGAAGTCTCCATATGCGGCAAATCGTTGGGATTTATACCACTCTATCTGGTGTCCTGTAGTGAACACATGTTCAGTCTTCTCCGATATCTCAAACCATAAACCTTTGCAGGCGGTTCTATATTCTGATAACCTATTATGTATGGGTTGAAAAGTCTCCCAAACATAAACACTACCACATGAACACAAAACCTTATAAAAACCATATCTGCAGAGGGCGTCTGAAAATTCTCTAACAAAGGGCATGACAGAGGAAAACGTTATTATTTCTTAATACAATGTCTTTACGCTCCAATTTCTTAATAATCTGCTTATATTTCTTGGAAGCTTGCAGGATGGTAGCATTAAGAACCTGACCGAAGTGCTGTCTAATTCCTTAGTTCGTCCCAAATACTAGTTTATTTCACTCTATTTCTTAGTATTTTTAAATTGTTAGCAATTAATCATACCGACAATTGTTCTCAAATAAGATTTTTCTCACCCTTTCTAACTCATGTTCCTGCTGATTTACGTCCGATAGAAGTAAATCCCTTAGTATAATTGATTTCATTAATCCTAATTTAAGACCAAAAGTATGACTCGAAGAAATTTAGAAGGAAACCCACATTTTTGGGTTGCATAAATACATCACTACATCATATAATCTCTCAGTCATAGATTGAATTTTCAGAAAATCCTTCGAATTAAGAGTATTTGACAAAATTGCCTTGGTCTGCTTTAGTTCAGATCAAATTACGTAATATTGTAATATTTTGAAGAACTCATTCTTTAACCAAATCATGAGGTACTTTTATAAGATCCCTCTTAGTTGGCAAATATGATCTGTCAAGGCAAATTAATCACAATAGATTTTTAAAGGTATACTCTTCGCGTACTATTATCCCTAGGCTTTGTATTCTTGATAGACCTAATTTGC